TTAAGCACACACACGATAAGCGGAAAATTCTAGCTCTTCGGTGTTCTACCAAAACTAATATTTCCTCGTCTGGGTGCCGAGATCATTTTCTTGTTTATTTTCGGATAACAGCATTTTTTTGCTTTCAATTTCTATGTTTTCCGTTTGCTCTCTGTCACTCACGTCTGTCACCCTGCATCGTGTCTTCTCAGTCGTGCGGTGTGCTGCCATCTCTTTTTGGCCGCCAAGAGCGTGACCTTTTGCCACTGGTAGACAACAAAAATATATACAGACATGTACCTACACACATATATGTATCAGCAAACTCCCTAAAACGCTGCACCAAAACACTGAGATGAATTTTTGAGAAAACCCTTTAAAAAAGTCCGTACTTTTGTACTTTTGTAAAATAAAAATAAAAAAAATTTTAGTTTGAAAAGTCGATTTGACATTGGAAACGTTACAATATAATGCAAATTTATGATTCAGTTGAAGTGCAATTTATCACAGAACGTCTACAACAAACATATCCCTTTATTTACAAGAACTTCACTTTGGGTATACAAAATTAATAAGAAATAAAAAAAAAAAATATATATATAAAGTTGGAACATACTTACAAATAAACATATGACGCAATGATTTTATTATACAAATTCGGAATTATTTTCGGTGTTTAACGATGCAAGCTACAGACAAAAATGCAATGATAGATACACTATTTTTGGACAGCCTCAGACGGGACTCTGAAGTCCTAACAGATTAAAAGGCGGAGGTTTCTTGCCACAGCAAAACTTTGCGCCTACGTTAATTTTAGCCCACCTGGGTCGCTCTTATATATCCATGTATATCTATGCTTACTAAATTCCTTAAGGTACATATGTGCATAGGTACATATATTAAAAAGTTAGGGAAGACTTCCAAGTCGACTAAATAAATGTACGCTCAGCATTTTGATTGTAATAAATGTCAAGACGTAAGGAAACCCAAAACATAAATAAATAACACATATGTATTTGGCCAGCGAAATCTAAGATTTGAAAGACAGTGCAGGTTGTTGGGCAATTGTAACCACATATGATACTATGCATTGGGTCTTAACTCAGTCACAGTCAAGTGGAGGCGTTATCAGCGGTTAGATCCCAACATCACCGATCTTTAGTCAATAAAGATAAGCCCCGAAATTTACTAGACGATGAAGTTAGGTAGTAGATTACGATAGTGAAATGTGTCACAATGTGTGATACTAAAATCATAAACATCTAAGAGATTTTATTTTATATTATATATTTATACTTAATGTGGTAAAAATGAAAACAGACCAAAACAAAACTTCTTTGTAATCGAAGAACATTTTGCGTACCACAAAATGACGAAAGAAAGAACAAATTGGGTAGAATATTGAAAAAAGAAGGCCAAAAACGAAAAAATTAGTCAGCATAATGCGAAAGATTAATAGATAGACCGAACTTAGATCCGCGAAATCCGAAAAATGGCCATATAACATACAGAATGAACAAGACCCAATGGAAAATCGAGAAAACGCAGAACAATTAACCACAGTGAGATATTGTTATATTTATATACATATGTATTATCGTATTTACTATACATACATATATGTATATATATATTCAAAAACAAAAATAAATATCTTATATATATTTACTGTATGTACATATATAGGAATAAATTACAATATTAACTACATTCAGTCTTTTTGTTTTATTGCTTTATCTCGAAAACTTAAGACATTTTGGAATGTTACTACGCAGATAATGCGAAGAGCTTCCTGTACTAGCGGAATCATAGATGTATATTTTTTTTGCCAATTTTTGACTTGATATGCAAAAAAATTCCCCAAGTTTTCACAACATATATTAATCACTTATGTAGATAGATATCTTAATAATTTTTTGTACCCAATGCATAGTGAGTGAGTGCAGAAAAGAATAGTGGAGAAAACATCTTAATCTGTGCGGATCGGTAGCACCCCTCCAAAAAAAGAACCCTTAGTCAAATTTGAATGGTCTGTATTTGGTTTTTTTTATAGGTTATTCACTGTGATATGGGCACTAGAATTAGAACTGTTTCCTATTACAATGACCACTTTTCCAAGCTGTTTTTGGATACAGACAAATTTATAATGCCGAGTAGAGTAACCAAAAGCTTAGTTTGATTCTTTGCCCTTGGGTTCGCATTTAATCTAACTTGCTGTAGCAACGAGAAACATAACAAATCGCGAGAAAGAATAAAGCGTAACAAAAGTGTGCGGTTTAGATTTTATTTTCCCACGCGAAAGGAAAAGGGGAAAAGAGAAGCAGAAACAGAAACAGGCGATAGACGATTAAGCGTTTACTGGCTTTTATCACATTTGTGTTTATGGGTCTTCCGTTTTGAACAAAAATTGTTGTAGGTTATCCATTCAGACATTCCGGGCTTCTCAAATTCACTTCTTCAGAACGAAGTTCCTACTTTAAAATATCGTTTCTGATGGAAACTCCAAACTCAACATTTTTTCTGCGTTGGTTTCAAGTGCAAAGTTTTATAAATACATACAAAAAATTATGCTGATATAGATCATATCGAAAGAAGAGGTAGGGGAGTTTTCACGTGCCACCTAAAAAAATATTGAAAAGAAACGAAATACCAAACAGCGCAATTTAGATCAAAGGTATTCAAAGTTGTTATGCATTTTAATCAAAAATTTACACCATTAGGTTTTAATTCACTAGGTTGTAAGGTCGTTTAACTGGCATCCCATTATTAAATCTAAATATATTTTCTACTCACAAACACACGCACACACGTACATAATAGATTTGAAAATCTTTTTTGGTTTTGCTAGACTTGCTGCTTTCAAAATAAATTGTAAAAATAATTAAATCAGGGACAAATATGTATAACCAAAAGAAATAAACTAATATTTTATATTTATAAGGAATTTGCATTAATACATTTTTCTCTTTGCATAATTGATTTGTGTTCAATTTTAGTTGTTTAAATGTTTTTCGTTCTCAGCTTTCACAATATAGAATTGCGGGATCGCAAATTATTGTTTAGGCATTCAATTAATATCTGCAAAGCAATAATATTATTATTATTGAGTTTCAGAGAGCTTAACTGGTGTTCATGTACACTTTTTTTCAATAAATAATATTATTATGTGGGAAATTGAATTTCGCTTGAGTTCGTTGAGTTTGTATCCATTTTTTGCGGTTTAATGAACGGAAAATGTGGTCAGCTAAAATCACCCGAAATCCGAGGAACCGATTTGTATGTACTAAACTGCGCAGCAGACACAATAACCCCCCGAAAATACAAAGAAAATGCTTCGAAGGCCGTTTCTGCAGGAAATGTCATCTTACACGACACAAGAAAAATAATACGCTGACAGTGCATAAGAAGTTCAACATTTCTCCAATGGATTTGAGTTCCACCTATATATTTACGCAGCTTCCCCGGAATAAGGATCAATCAAATAAAAAGTCAAATAAAATGTTTCATCAAAGTAATTTTCAGTAATATTTTCGAAAATTATACTTCATTTGCTAGCACTTCAAAAATGTATTTGTTTTGAAACCAAAATAAATCAGGGTAAAACTTAATGAGACTGAAAACCCCTGAAAACTAACTCAATTTCCAATTTCCGAAAAAGCTCAACAAAACAAGAGAGAAATAAAACGTACCTATAGTACTTAACATAGTACATATTTTAGATTTCATAGTACTTTTCGAATTAGATATGTATGTGCGACCAAAAGATTAGATTCGTAGATTTCTTCAATTAGTTGAATAATTTTTTTAACGACAGCTATATGCATGTAGTCTTCCGATATTCATAAATATTGTAAATCGAAGTTGTAAAAATGACTATGCTACGAGCTTATCTTTCGATCTCGTTGCGGCTTACACACTTTGTAGTAACAGAATTAGCAATAAGTCATTTGGTTAGGTTTCAGGGATATTCAAATGGTTACCTATTGCTGATCAAGATTATATGTATTTGCCTTATAGGAGTCCGGAGGTTCATATCTTCTCTTCAACGTGGCAACTTTCCGACTGACCCTCCGCAAGGGTGCCGAATGGAAAACAATTAATTCTTTGAGGAAGGCAAGAAATTCGCGGTCAAATGTTAATTACTAATAACTGTTTGCGGTCCCATGAAGTTCAATGGAATTTAAGACAAGGCTGATTAAGAGATGTGAGTATACATATCTTCATACGTACATTTGCGGTGGGCAGAAGGGGTTTCGAACTCGGCAGCCAAAGAGATTCTTTCTGTTTTAAAATGTATTTATTCGGCGGCGTTTTGGCTTAAAATCAAAAATTCGTACATGAACTATTTTTGGGTTGACGAGCCACAAAAGGGGCGGGGCAGGGAGAGGCAGGGAGGGGCGGGTTGAGTCGGCGTGCGGCGACCAAAACGTTTAGTTTTGGATTTATGCGATTTTGATGGAATCACTTGCAGAGCACGGCGACAGCGTCCAAAAATAAGTGTTACCAGGAAGCAGAGAAAAGCTAAATCGAACGCGACTCTGGTCAGGCTGATGGACTAGAGAGATTACCTGGAAATTGCTAAAAAAAATGTATTCATATAATCGAGTGTGTGCCCTAAGAGGAAACCCTTGCTTGACTTGTACTTAAAACATGTCGTGCACAAGTAATTAGATAATTTTTAAAGTCCCATGTATAAACGCAATGGGTGGTACCAACATCAATTTAAAAACCGAGCACACTTTGATTACTAAAATAAATAGGCAAACACAAGAGTTGTTCCATGTTAAATACGCAGCACGGGCTAAAATCGTACGAACAATAGATAAATGCCATGCAGCTGGTTTTGGTTTGCTTTGGATATGTGTCTCTAATTTGTCTATTCTAAATATACAACTTGACGAGGCGAGACGCAATGGAACTGACCACCTAATTTGGTTCCCCAAAAAAACGGATTCTGTAACCTACATATACATATACCAAATTCCCAAAGTCAAACAGCATCTTCTCGGAATTTACCATTATTATTACCATAGCTATTTACCAGGTATACAGAGCCTGAAGATGCCGATCGCCGATTTGATGCCAGTGTCAATATTTGCATATCACTTTCGGTTTGTTCATCACTTTTCGGTTTTTGGTCATTTGTAACAGGCAAACATTGTTGGCGGGGAAATGTGAGACTCTGGGCTATAGTTTGGGGCAGTAATCGATCGTATCTTTACATGTTCTATAAGACTCGGCTATTCCAATAAACTTGCATCGATTAAAAAGACTCCGAATTAGTCTTGATAAGGAGTTTTTAAATTACAAAACTTCTGAAAACCAACCTATTTTAATTCGGGTGAATACACTCCCCACCCATTTGTGATCCCAAATATATTTACCCATTTATCGGGTAAGTGGAAAGTCTTGGGTGGATCAGCTCTTTTTTCCGACACTTGGTTTTTGCTGCTCTGCTTCTTCCCGTGGGCATTATCATTTCCATGATGTAGTTTGTCGTCTGTCGTTTTCGTCTTCGTTTTTTATTTTGTTTGACAGACGTGAGAATTTTGTGAGCAAAGAAACCGGGCAAACACAGATAAGAGAGCATATCTGAGTACACTTACCAATTGAGGAAACACATGGCTACATATATACATAGATACTTGTGTGCACTTAGGTAGTGGAAAATGCTTCAGTATCGACGAGATACAAACGTATGGCTGTGTGTTTGCACAAATATCACAATGTGACAGTTGCTCAAAACCAACAATTTTGGTGAAATTCTTCGAACTGTGTGTTTTAATTGGGCAGTTTGATTTTTTTTTTGGAAAATGGAGTGTGACATGTACATATGTACATATGTGATATCTCTGATATAATAGTGAATAAATATTACTATAAAAACATGATATATCACCACAAAACTTCGGCCTGCTGAACTGGAATCGAAGGTTTGGCCTGCCACTCCGCAAACAGCTGATAGTTCAAGCGCTCCGATGGGAACTCCGACCTGCATTAAAGGCGAAAAACGCTGTTATCTTCAGATACACCCGAGTATCTCACACATATCAAATGTAGTTCACAAACACCGGCTCTGTGCTCTAATTTCTTGATTACACTCGACCAGAGGCAGTGGCTGCACTGGGCCAAAACCGGTGTTTGTTTAAGGGATTAGCATTCCAAATGGATAACAAACAAATGTAGTGCAACAACACACTGGAAAAAACTGCATAGGACCGGTCTTTGGTTCAGTATTTCAGTCTAAGCATTTTTATCTTTCTTCTTAATATACATGTATGTATATTCACATGTGTTTCAAATGTTTGCTGTTACAAACAAAAACAAGAAAGGGCCCAGCTTTGGCGATCCGAAGTTTACATAGCCGTGCAGTTAGAACTTAAAGGTGGATAATGAATGTACTCATTTCCATGAGTAGAAACAACATTTTTTCTCATTAAGTTGTATAGTAAGTTCAATCCTTAAAACGTTTCCTAAACCTTCAGTGATAAAGTGCGCCATATGCTACTTCTCTAGTTCTGTAAAATTGCCATTCATGTTCTCATATATGTATATGTATGCTGATAAAGTAGTCCGATCTCTGTGGAAATAAGTTCTTTATCTCTACCGCCGAATCGAGTTACTTGTTGTCGACTGCACTCGACTTGAATGCCTGAAAGCATCGAAGGTATGACGATTTTCTTTTAAATTTTCTATAATTCCAATCTTGTTCCTATGACAGCTATATGATAAAGTCGTCCGATTTTTATTAAGTTAAATTCGAAACTCAAGAGTCGTAGAAAAATATTTTATTCCCAAAATCCTGCTTGTATGATAATAAAACAACGATGTTGTAGATATAAAGCATTGAAATGGGGATGCGGATCGAAAATAAAGATACTTTTGGTTTTCAGGTGTCTCCTTCATTGCGTGGCAAACTTCGGACTAAATTATACCACGGCCTGTATTATTTTCCACTGCACTTAGCGGTGATATATTTTTCGTTTTGTGTAGGCATTCTGCAGTCCCTTTTTTAAACCGGTCTGTCGGCTAATGCTGGTGACGTTCGTGATGATGATTACACAAGTGCGATGCCAGCCAAACACACGACTATCAAAGAAAATGCAAACACTGAACTATGCAAACAGAAGGTTAAAAAGAAAAAACAAGAAAGGAGACTTACATACATACCCTTGCAGTCTTCACAAATGTCGAGCAAATGCATTTGGGCTTAACAACATCGCATCCATAACGATTTTTACCATTAATTTTCTATAATGTACTTTTGGATGAGGTGTCTCCTTCACTGCGTAGCAAACTTCTGGCTGAAAGTGTAATACCCTCTGCAAGGGTGTAAAAATGATATTACAGGAAGTGCAGCAAGTGAGTGGAAAGTATGGAATTCGTTCAATATTAGCTCCAAAAACTTCACAGCTGCGATAGCAAATTAAAAATAAACAAATTCCGAAGAAAAAAAAGATTTTTTTGAAAACTACAAACTTATGTTTAAAAAATACGTTCAAAATATTTTAAGAAGAAATTACACATGGCTTGGAGCCCAAATAGTTTTTGATAATATTATATAGTGGTCTCTGTGGGAATTGGGGGTTTGCATTTCGGTCTCAACAAATGGAATACTCCTTCTTTGCAGGTAGTTGTACTAGATTTAAATTTTTTTGATTGATTTGTGTGCGCTATTAAGATTCCATATCGATATCAACGGCGACGCAGGTCTTAAAAGTCGAAAGCCCTCCGCCATAAACCCAAAGTCGCTGGAAGGGGCTTCTAGTCATACAGGTGCGTGCTGGGTTGCTAGGCCTACGAAAAACAAAAAAGAAACACTTTCAGTTCACTTCAGTCGTACTCGTTTTCGTTGGGCTAGATAGCTTGCCTATGGTCATGATAAATTAGGTTTTAATCCCTCCCGGTTCACAGAATACCTGTTAGTTTGTTAGTTTGCCGGACATGTGTAAAACAATATGGTAAATAATAACTTAAAAAAAGGCAGGCAAAGATGAAAGTCGCGTAGCGGAAATGTTGAATGATTTCAAGTTTTTTAAGTAAGTTTAAGTATAAACAAACTTAACATCGCTTTTTTCACAAATTAAAATACCCATTTACCCGTAACAAATTAAATTTAACGATTTACACTCAGAGACCTCTTTTAGGTCTTTACCCGCAAATGAATATTGCCCACTATTAATATGTGCCTTCTTTATTGAGCCTCCATGTGATGTGTTCGGTGCGTGAGTGGCTGGCTCCTTATCCCCTCCGGAGTACACCCCACCGATCCGATCCGATCCGAATCGGGAACGGGCGAAGGGTTCAGCCACACTCCCCAATCTAATCAGTCCGATTCGATGACCTCGTCTTGGCTTGAACCAACGTTCAGATTGTAATAGTAATCATAAAACTATAGGTACCCACACAAAGGCAGTCGAGTCGAGTGGCTAGATGCGTGAGTGTAGTCAAATATTCTGTTTCGGTAGGAACGAACTCAGTGAACTGCCCGTAATTTTCTTGGGCGATCGCTGATAACCACAGAAGTAGTGTGCGTTTCTTGATTAGGTTTACGATTTCGCCGGTCAGATGTCAAGGCATACTACGGTATAACAGGCTAAGCCCAGTGACGCTCAATTGAAAACGATCTTTTGCCGGATTTTAGAAACGTGAAACACGCAGTGATGCTCACAGAAAACAGAGTGAAATGGTTCCCCATATTTGACGAAATGGATTTCCACGGAACGTTCCACTTGCGATAAGGCCGTGATTCAGTGGTCAAACGCATATGGCCCGATGGTTCATTTGAATAATTTAGCTTCGGCTCAGTCCAGTTTAGCACGCGCAAAGCGCTGGAAATTATGTATGAAACCTCAACCCGAGCTGAACCGAAAACCCCTCGCCAAGAGCCACAGAAATGCCGAGAAACGTCCAAATTGCTAAACGACACTAATCTTAGTTTTATTTAAATTACGATTCGATACGGGGAACGGGGTCGTGTTGGCCGGCGAGATGATGGAGGCCCTGTGAACCTGTTGCCAAGAAGTCGGCCTATCCAGGAAGACTTGCACTGGGAGAAATAGTCCAGGAAAATGGTTGAGACCATCTCAAATACTTTAAAGGAATTCCTTAGAGTGTACTGTACTATATGTATAGTATGAAGAAAAAAGAATGGACATACGGCCAACTAAGATACAACAAGTTTCACACAATTTCGCAACCGGAATCGATATTTGTCGACTTGGTTTTCGACAGTGTATCCGAATATTCCAGCCAAGTCGATGACTCTCCCTCGGAGTCTTTGCATCTATTAGAATGTTTCAACCTACAGCGGCCCCTTTTTCCGATTCTATTTCTTTTCTATATCTCGTTCCCGTTGTTGCTGTTGCTGTGGTACCTGTTCTCTGATTCAAAATCTGGTGTTCAAACAAAATTTAGCCGACAATTAATACGAGAGAGGCCTGGGCTAGGTATTTGTTTATTTGTAGTCTTCTCTTGGTTATATTAATTCGGTTTCGTTTCGTTTTGTTCGGCTGCACAGGTGTGTTATGAACGCTATACATATGAGCACAGGGCCCGAACTCGTCGCATAAAATATCTTGTTTTAGTGGCCGATGTATACATTTAATGAATGAGTTAATTCCCCGTCCCGAAGAGCTGCCAGTGAGACTATTTTCTAGACAGGGCGCATTCACCTGTTGAGTTTTTTACCAAACATACTTAAGTGCAAAGTGTTGAAAAATGTATTTGCCAGAAAATTAGTCTCGATTCACAGATTCGGCCACAAGTGTCACGCGGATTGTGACCAAATCGCTTATATCCGCAAACAAGTCCCAAATAGATGGCCCGAATTGAATTTGTTTCTGGTTCGATCGCCGGAATCACATACTTCTTCGCTGCAAGCATTTGTACGGTAATTCTATCACCTAGAAGTCACTTTTTAGTGACGATAGAATACATTTCACAACAACAAAATGTACGTCTATCCTATCTATTAATATTAATAGCATGAAAAATCCAGATGTCATTGGCCTCACACCTCCAAAAATCGTGAGTGTGTGTGCATTGGTCTACGAATTTAAGCTAAGTCATTGCCGAGATCTTCGATCGTTTAACAGCAACTAATTATGAAGCAATTCCATGGCAATCTTGGGGATCTTCGTTTTCTTCTACCTTTTTTAAGTCTGCGTTTGCTCCCCAATAAAACCAATAAAGCTGTATGCGAAGAGTTGAAAAGGCACGAAGGAATTGCCTAGTCGATCGCCAGAATCTGCATGATCAATCCCAATATTATTATTATTATTTGTCGGCGACTTTCTACGCCTACGTGTTGATTCGCAACACTCAGGATGTTATATTTTTATAATATAAAATAATAGTTATCTTGCTCATGGGTTCGCAAGTGCCTCCTTTTCATCTTCCTCCTTACGAGCAACAGGTGCCGAAATTGGGAAATAGTTCGCATAACAGTTTCAAGTTTTCGTTGAGGTTGTCTTTGTTTGGTTGTTTCGAGACCTAACGATCTGAGGGCAGTGGATCGACCAGTTTTTCGTCGAGTTGAACTTGATTGGGCTTGGATGAGTAAATTGTTCTATAAAGACAGTATGGTAGATATACAGTTACCTATAACTCTAACTCCAATTCAGGGAGGGAGAGACTTCCTGCAGTATTTTATTTTAAAAACCCAATTTAATTCCATTGAAAATGCGAACTATAGAATCTGTATCGCTCCCAGGGGGCTTTTGGCAAAATCCGGAGCAGGTCTGGACGGATAGGTTGATTATGCGACGGATGTGCTGATGATTCCTTGTTTTTCTGATACTTTTGGGATATTCCCAAGGGCATCTGATT